CTGCTTTTGCCAAACTCTTGCTCTATTTAGGTATAAATTTTGAATGAATTCTTAAAGACTGTAAATATGCTATGAAAGTTGTAAAATGTGCATGGCTTTTCAAGAGGTAACAATGATTTGTACAAAACTACAGGATAATTTGATGTTTAAAATAGTTTCCACAGATTTAAAGAGAGAATCCAAATGTCACAGTCTGAAACAATTTATTTTTAGGAACTTTAATTTCCTACCCTACATTTAACAGCTAGTATTCATAATTTCTCTAAAAGTCTTAAGTTAAGGTTTCAGCAACTGTGCATACGCGTCAGAAATCTAAATGTATTTGAACTAATTTCCACAATTGTATTATTTCATTTTATGTTTATTACTAGCCTCAGATTTGCTAAAAACTGAATTTCTTTCTTTCATCTTCCAACTTGGATGAAATATGAAATCAAGTTTCTGACCTTGGAAGAGATTTGTTTTCCCCACACTTATTAAGTCCAGTAAACCCTGACAAGTCATCGTAACCCCAAGAATGATAGCCAGAATGGATAAAAACCACAGAATCCACTGCTGTTTGATAGTCACATGGAAATATAAATGTCAAGAGGAAGAAAGGAAGGAAAAGAACAGTTGCTGTTCTCATAAAAATCCCACAATGCCTGGCGCTCAGGGCACTACAGTCAATAGTTATGTTGGTGATAACATCCAGTCATACTATTGACGCATTGCTAGTTTCTTCCTCACAATAATTAATTTGATACAGAGTCCCAGAGAAATTTATTTCATATTGATTTTCCATATCACAATTTCATTCTCACATTATTCAGGGAAGGTGGTTGGTTATATAATATTATTATCCTGCATTGAATGGAAGACAGGTGGGATTTAGAAGGAATGAAAATGTATTATTGAAATGAGCAAATTTCAGGTGAAGGACATCGTTTGTTAAATGTATCTTGGAATCTTGGGTCACAAGAACTTTATGCTTGTGTTTCCTGAGCATGTGGAGATTGTTTCAAACAGCAAGAAATATTTAAAGGGTTCAGGTTGTTATGAGACTTAACTTGGTATGCCTTCAGTTGCCCTTCCTTGTAGGAGATATGTGTTTATAGTCTTCATATTGAATGAGCGTTTGAGAAAATCTTAGAATGGTGCACCAAATTGGCCTAGGTTTTCATATTAATTATTTACTCATGGTCAGATTCCAAGAATTCATTTATTTGGCAAAATGTCAAAAATGTATATGAGGTCCAGCCATGGTAGCACAGTGGTTGTGCAACACTCTGCACTGCTGAAAGCCATGTGGGAGATCAGTGTTTAGTTCCCGGGTCGACCTGTGTATACCAGTCATGCACCTGTGTGCCGGCATCGTGGCTGACTGGGAAAGGCTGGCAGGTACATGTGCCCATGATCCAGGCTGACAAGGAGAGGTTGGGAGGAGATTGCCGCATGGCATTCTATCAAAAGAACTTGTCGTTCTCTCTCTCTCTCTCAAAGAAAGATAGAAAGAAGGAAGGAAGAAAGGAAACAAGAAAGAAAGGAACTTAAAAATTCAGATGAGCAGCTCAACTGCAGCGTGCAAGCTATTAAGATGCGGCTATTCAGAGGCTGAGGCCACATGGGAAGCCCGGATTCCATTCCCTGCCTGATCTAAAAACAGACCAGGAGTAATAGCACATGTCTGTAGTGTCATTGCTAGCTAGCAGGAAGGCTGAGCAGGAGGATCTCAGAATGGCCAGACCTTGTGAAAAATCAACGTTCTTTCTCTTTCTCCCATAAATAAATACATAAATAAAAGAACCACAAAGATCATTTTAAAAATTCAGATGATCCAAAGAGCACCTGTGATGAACTGTTTTAGAACAGGAGCCACCACATGTTTTATCCAGCACTCTCTGCTTGTTAATGGAGGCATTTCTCCCCATGTAACAGTTGTTAACTTCTACATGTACACGATAGCATTCACTTGTTTATTTACTCATTTGCTCCACAGTTTCAAATGCCTACTGTGTGTTGGGTGTTTTGCTAGACCCTGGAGATTCAGAGAGGAAAATTAATATCAGTTGCTGCCCTTGACTGCTTTCAGGCAAAGGAAGGGGACAGATTAGTTGTCAAGTAGTATGAGTACTATAATAGTATTCTATACAAAGTACCATTTGATAAGATTTATATAACTGTGTGTCCCTTTAGCTAATGTTTAATTCAATCAGTATTATTGGAAAATATTGATATTTAATTTCTACGCATATGTAGCTATACTATAGAAGAATGAAATGTCTTTTCAAACTACCTTAGAAGTCAGTATGCAATTTTTGAGTTTTATATGATTTTTTTCACTCTCATGGCAATCATAAATGTTGTTTATCAGGAAATTTCTATGACCTTTCTCTAAATAAAGGATATAGGGTCTAGCAGGTGGCGTGGTGGTTGAGGGCGCTGAATACCCACATGGCTGACCATGGTTCAAGTCCCAGACCTGGTGGCTTACTTTCTCACTTTCTCTCTCTCTCTCGCT